ACATAAGCATCCGAATACTCTGATGATGTTGAGGTCGGGTTCTTTATTGTGTAACCTCTTGTAAGGGCATGACCACTCAATAACCGGTGATGAGAGACGGTTGATGAGATATACGGCGTGTAATACACATTGTCCCCAAAACTCCAAGGGAAGATTAGCCTGGAATCTCAACGCCCTGGCTACGTTCAATATGTGTTGATGTTTGCGTTCCACAACCGCATTTTGTTGTGGGCTATTTACACAAGTCTTTTGGTGGATTATCCCATATTCGGCAAAGAAATCCTTCATGTTAAACTCTAATCCGTTGTCACTCCGGATAGTCTTGATAGGAAGATCAAATTGTGTTTGGACCATCTTCCGAAATCCCTTGATTATGGCTTGTGTTTCGGACTTATTTTTCATTAAGTGCACCCATGTGTATCGTGAATAGTCATCAACGATTGTCAAGAAATATCTTTCTCCTTTCAAGGATTGAACTACAAAAGGGCCCCAAATGTCAACATGGATCAATTCAAAACAAGTTGTAGACAATGTACTGCTAACAGGAAAAGGAGATTTCTTATGTTTTGCAAAGTGACAAGTATCACATGCTACTTTCTTGGAATGGGAAACATGAACATCAGTAAGTAAGTGCATTTTATTGAAAGGGAAGTGGCCTAATCTTTTATGCCATACTTCATTGCTACATGACATAACAAATTGACTCTGAGCAGCCTCAGGTGTTTTATTCAGCAAGTATAAGCCATTTCCTTCCTTAGCCAAACCAATCAGCTTCCCATGGTTGCTTCGAAGGAGACACTGATGAGAATTAAATATCAATTCATAAGATGATTCTTGAAGCAGTTGGCTAACAGATATAATGTTAAAGTTGAAGGAAGGAATATATAAAGCATTTTCCAGATTTAGATTGTCCCTCAACTTTATATGCCCCACATGTGTGACTTCTACTTGCTTTCCATCAGGTAAATTTACTCTTGTTCCTTCCACAGGATGATAAGAGTCAAAGAAATCCAAAGAGCACACTATGTGATTAGTGGCTCCGGAATCCAGTATCCAAGAAGAGTGTTGTAGATGAACAGAATTGACAGTATTATGAAAGATAGACTTGCCTTCATCAGCTTGTGGCTTAGTGAGAGTAACGGCTGCAGTGGATTGATTCTGTCCCATCTGAAGTTGCAGAAGAGATATGAGCTTTTGAAGTTGTTCATTAGTGTTAGTCTCATTGTTGAGTGTAGAGACTGCTGCCATGGCTTGCTGCTTGCCTTTCGATTTGAATCCCGGCACCCAACCGGGGGGATAGCCATGCTTCTTATAGCATTTCTCGATGGTGTGCCCCGTTTTCCCACAATAGGTGCATGTGGCAGATTTATTCCCAGTTCCATAGTTGTTGCCCCTTCTATTGTTATTGTATCCGATGGCAGCCACGACTTCTTGATTATCTGTAGAATTAGTTTGAACAACATTAGCATGATTCATCTCAAAGTGACTCAGGTTCATGCTTTCAATCTTGAGTTGTCTTTCGAACTTCTCGGCCATGACAAACACTTTGTGTAAGTCAGGCAGAGGATCCAACACTAGAACTCCGGATTTTAGAGAGTTATATTCCTCGCTCAACCCTTGTAGGAATAGGATGATTTGGTCAACTTCCTTCTCGCTTCTGATTTCATCGAAGGCGTTGCAGCAGCATTGCGGAGTGCATCGGCAAATAGGCAGAGGTCTGAGCTCATTCATCTGCTCCCATAAGATCCGGCAACGAGTGTAGTAATCGTTCACGGACATGTTTCCTTGCTTTAGATTGTGGATCTCCGCTTGCAAAGACGAGATCCGGTGTGGATCTCTCTGCGAGAATCGCTTCCTTAGATCGTTCCAAACTTCCTTCGCACTCTGAATGTGCATAACGCTTTGCGCGATCGAAGGATGAACAGACTTGCAGATCCATGCGCATATCATGAGGTTACACCTCCTCCAAGCTGAATACTGCGTGTGTGAGCTGTCCGGTGCGATCGTACTGCCTTCTACGATACTCCATTTGTTCTTTACCTCCAGCGCAACACGCATGGAGATGCTCCAAGTTCCATAGTTGGAACTGCCTGTGAGAGGGGGGGGGGGGGGGGGGGGGGGGCTGACTAGCACTGCGTTGGTGTGTTCATTACTGCTCAAAAACAGAGGATTGTCTATATCCTCCGATCGGTGGCTCCGCTGTGGAGTTAGCGATCTCTGTAGATTGCTCGTTGGTGTGGCGTGATTGGGTGAATGATTGACCGGAGTTGATGGACGCGTTCTCTGGCCGGAGTCTCCTGCGCCGGTCACGACGGCGGCGTAACTGCTCTGTCCCCGCTCTGATACCATATTAACGAATAGAGAGTGAAAGAGAATGAAGATGGATCTGTTTCATTACTGGAAAAACTGACTCTCACAACTGGAGGTTACAAGGTATATAAAGGAAAGTAAAATGGCGGTAAAGGTGGTTACAAAGAGTAGATTACAAAAGAGCCCTTGTGAGATAGATAAAAGACTAGCTTATCCTTCCTTGTTATGGTTTGATAAGAATAGTCTTCCATCTAGGATCATTCCCTTTGTGAGGCTTATTAGCACCACCAGTAATGTTGTTCCAATTACTGTCATCACTGAGGTCACTGCTATAACTTGCTCTGCTAAGGCTTGTCTTTGTACTTTCAAGCGAGTCCCTTCAAATCCCCCCCCCCCCCCCGGCCAACTCCTTGAAGACTATTCCGCTCTCATGCTTGCCTTTGTGCTCTTATAATTTCTGTCTACACTGAGCATGCCATCACTCATCATCCCATCACTTCTGTATGTGCTTGTGCAACTATTGGCAACACTCAAAGCCCTGACAACCCCAATACTATCAATGCTACTTTGTGGACTTGCATTGCCACTTGGAGGTAGTGAAGCATTCCAAATGCATTCTTTCTCATTCGAATCATGGGGCGGACTAGAGAGGGGAATGACCTTGCCTTTCTGGCAAAGGACGACGCTGCTAGAATCGCAGCAATTGGCGACAATTATTTTGGCTGTGAACTGAACAAAGCCTCTAAGGGTAATATATATGAAATGATAGCTATACGCTCAAAATTAACCCTCATTTCACAGCAAACTTAACGAAGGACCACGGGTGGTTATTTTTTAAAAGATGGAGAACGTCTTGTGGTCATTTAAAAGTCGGATGCTCACAGGTGGTATATGGTTAATACTCGGGGGACCATTGGAGGTATTAACTCTTTTTCTCCACATGCATCACATCAATACTTTGTCTCACATCTAGTGTCTTCCAATATGGAAGATCAAAGAATATATATTTCTTTTTCCACGGACTCTTCTCATTAGGAGGTATCTCAACATTAGATTTTGACATCTTACCTCTTTGAGATTCAAGCTTTTGAGTCTTACCAAAAGTCACATTGATGGATTCTACTCGTTCATAAACTTGAATGCCAATCAATGGTTGTGGAACATCTGTATAGTCGTGTACCCCATTGAATGCCTTTTTTAATCTTAGATAAGGGTGAAATTTATCAAGAAATCTCCGATGCCCCATATAGACTTTCTTTCTACCATGAACAAGTTAATGATAACATGTATTACCTTCACATGTGGGGAATGCCTTATGACCTTTGACACTAAATCCAGACAGGTTTCCATAAGCTGGAAAGTCATTGATTGTGCAAAAAAGTATTGCATGCAAGTTAAAACTCTCTTTCCGGTATACGTCAAACACTAACACACCTTCATCCCATAATTTCTTCAAAGTCATCCATCAAAGGCGCCAAAAAGACATCTATATCATTCCCTGGTTGTTTTTGCCCAAAAACCATCACGCACAATAATATATATTTGCGTCTCATACACAAGTAACACAACCTAGGAGGTAGATTATAAATTACCAACTTAACTGGTTCCAAATCAACATATTAATATATAATATCAAAAGTTTAACTTAAATTTAAAATAAATAAAATAAACAAATAAAATAAATTTCAAAATAAATAAAATAAACAAATAAACAAAAATTCAAAATTAAAAAAGTCGAAATAAAATAAATAAATAATGAAAAAACGATTACAAAGCGGTGGTGGTGTCGGCGGAGGCGGATGCGCGACAGTGGAGGCTGTGGCGACGATAATGGCGCGACGATGGCGGTTGTGGCGACGAGAAGAACGGATGACGTTAATGGTGTCGGCGTTGGAGTTCCTAGGAGAGAGCGAAACCTGTTGGGGCGGCGGTGACGGCGTGGAGACGATGGCGGCGGCTGTGGGCCTGTGGCGATGTTTGAGACTAAACTTAATTATTTTGAGAAGAAGTGTGATGTTTTTGTTTGAAATGAAGGTTTATTCGCCTGAAATACTTATACGATTTCAGTTTTATCAGGACCGGCGTCGTATACTTAATTATTTATTTATTTTTTAAATAATGGTTACGACGTCGGTTCTTTGTAGAACCGACATCGTGGCCTTAATATAAAAAAAAAAAAAGTATAATTATACGACGTCGTTTATACGAAAACAACGTCGTATAGTTATTAATTTACTTTATTATTGTTTTAATGTTTACGACATCGGTTTATTACACAACCGACGTCGTATACTTTTTTTTTTTTATTTAATTATTGTGTTACGACGTCAGTTATACGTTAAACCGACGTCGCATATTTTGTTCATTTTTTTAAAATTTATTTTTAATGACATATAATGTTGTCTTTTTTTTTTTTTTTTTTTAAATCGATGTTATATGTCTTTTTTTAAAAATTGTGAATTTTTTTTATTTTTTAACGTCGGTTTTGTAACAGAAATATTAATGTGTATATGAGAAAATGAGAAATCAACTACTTATCATGAATTGTTTCTTGTTTCAAAGCAAAAAAGGATACGCAGATAATGACATAATGTTAGAGGTCAAGCACAGATAATCAGATATGACTAAAACTCAAGATATTGAACTACTAGATAATGAGGTGATTATGTCTTGTGTGAGATCGTGTCATGTGAAATGCATAATATGTTTTATTTAAAATAGAGAAGATCTCACACAAGACTTACTCTAATGACTTGAGGTGTACTAAGCAAAGCATCATTTGCAGCAACCTATGACAAAACATTGATGTCCCTTCCTGCTAATAAATTATACAACATAGCTGGTGAGTTATGGATAACCTAAACTGGTTTACCTGACCTTTTGCTGACTCGCTAAGACTAAAGTAACAAAGTTGATTTACTCGGTACACACCCTCAAGTACAGACTCGGCACTCAATTATACATCTAGCACTACAATAGTGAACAGTGTCCAAGAATGTCTTATGGATTGAGAATGTCAGGCTCAGCACCACCAAACATGGAAGTTGATTTCCTGAATCTGAAATGAGAGCAGTCAAGGTACCTGAGTTTAAGCAGCAGAAACAGCAGCACCCCACACACAAATCCCAGTGCAGCACTAGAACCTGTGAGTGAAATGGCAGCACACACCAGCATCACAAAAGACTCTTCCTTTGAGTTCATATCCCTTGACGCCATAGCCAATTCTATCCCAGCAAACAGCAGAAGCACCCCAAGAAGCCCAATTGGGAACTCATTCAGAATCCTCACCAGAGAATTCCCAAGCAACAACCCAAGAAACAGTTTCCCCAGCCCCAGAAACACCACCGACAGCCCGCTCCGGCCGCCGAATCTGTACTGTCCGGCTAGCCCGCCCGCCCCATGGCAACACGGCATTGCCCCAAACCAACACCCCACCATATTCATCAACCCAACACTCACCGACACTTTGGCTGCCGATCCCGCCGTCACTTCCCTTTCTGGGAACAAATCAGCCGACAGCTTACAAACTGCAATTACTGAGTTCAGTACTGATAACGGGATCTGCGGAATTGCGCCGCGTAGAAACCCAATTTTCCAATCTTCCCATGTGATTTTCAAGATTTGAAATTTCGACGGGCCGAGCTTGATATCATGTACGATTGAAGGGTCGCGGATGAAACAGAGAATTAAGCCGAGTAAGAATACTATTAGGGCAGACGGAATTTTTGATAGTGTTCTTAAACGTCGATTTACTCTGCGTTGCTCGGTGGTTGCGTGAGTTGAAATTCCAGTCTCCTCCGCCACTTCGCCGGAGCCGGTGACGAGTATGATGAAAGAGAGGCAGAATAGGGCGAGAATAAGGCCGTCGAGTCCGAGCCAGGATCGAGGGGTGCTGCTGGCGGCCTTGGTGGTGGTGAAGTCTTGATTGTAGCGAATGTATTTAATGGCGGAGAAGGCGAAAGAGAGGCCTTGAGAAAGCTGGACGCCGCGGACGACGGGGAGGGGGATGAAGTGGTAGAAGAAAGACATGAGGCCGGTGGCGCCGAGGATGAAGAGTGTGGCGGCGGTGGAGAGGCCGGCGGTGGCGATCTGGGCGAGAGTGAGGTGCGGCGTTTCGGAGACGGCGACGGCGGCGATGGACTTCATGGGCTGGACGGGCATGGGGATGCCGAAGATTAGGCCGGTGGCGATGTTGTAGAGGGCGGTGAAGATGAGGGTGGTGCTGAGATCAAGATTGCAGACTAAAGTGAGCGCCAATACTATTGGGATGTAGGTGCCCAAGTCCCCCACGGATCCCCCGAGCTCGGCGAGTATAGATGTTTTCAGGCGAAGTGAATCCGGCGGCGAGAGGGCGGCGAGACGGCTCCGCCACCACTCCCGCCGGAGTAGCGGGGTTGTGTGGTTAGGCTCTTCCTCCGCCATTGACGAGACTCGAGAGAGAGAGTCTTTGGATGTATGAGTATCTCCGGATAATTTTCGTGTTTCAAAAAATATATTCTTTTTATTTCTTCAAAATATATATTCTTTTTATTTCTTCAAAAAGAATTACGGAGTATATTTTATTTCGATTTTTGCATTAAAAAATAAAAAATAAAAAATAAAAAATAAAAATAAAAATAAAAAAACAAATCTTTTCAAAAGCCTATTCCGTAGCATTTCGTATAGAAACTGTTTCTCCGACCATTGGCACACACTTGAAGCTAATTCTAAAGGCCATTATCAAAGTTCATAAATATCTTTAAGATTTCGTTTCTAAACCTAAAAAATGACTTCTATAAATATTTTTTGAAAAATGAGTTATTTTATAGAAAACATTTTTATTTCTCGTGTTTAGCCAACAGAAAACTGTCTTTGTATTTTTAGTTCATTTTCTAAAAAAATAAGGTAGAATTGTATAATTCAATATTTTATATAATTAATTATTTTGTTTAAAATATAAAAATATTTATAAATTTTTTTTTTTGAAATCAAATAATAGTAATTATTAAAAAAAAAAAAAAGGGAAACCAGGGAGTACTACTCTCTCGTTTCCTTCGCTGGAAACCAAAGAGAAGTTCTCTCTGGTTTCCCTTTTCTATGGTTTCCACCGCCGGAAACCAGAGTTCCTCTGGCTAATTTTTTTTTTTTTTCTTTTTTTTTTTTAAGGTTCCTGGTGGAAACCACAGCTCTAGTTTCCGCCAGAAACGTTGTTGTATGTTTGGCAGAACGAAAGTCATTTTCCGCCAAAATAGCTTGATTTTTCCTAGTAAACGGAAAATGTTTTCCATTGGCTGGATTTTCCAATCTCATCCAAACATGGGAAACCCGAAAAATGATTTCTAGAAATCATTTTCGCGCTTTCAAACACAGCCTAAATGATACACGCAAATTGTCAGTTGTCACATTTCATCCTTCCTTATCCACAAAAGATGAAAATTTTAAATAATCCCAACCAAATTCATTAGACTATTAATTTGGTAATCGCAAAATTACAAGTTTAACTCTCAATAAGAGTGATCTATTGAACTTCTTGGTTTAAGTCGGTCCGCTATTAGTAACTCAGATTGGTTTACCTCATTGCTGTCTAAATCACAAGAAGTGTTTCGACTAATTCACAAGTCCTAAATATTTATACACTAATGCCCACAATAATATCCCATTTACACCTCTCATCCTACGAGTACTCTGACACATCAACGCTTAGGAACTTTTTTCACAGAGTAAATAACAGCCAAGGTCCCTCGAGTTTAGTGGTTCCGCCATCAATAGTCCTAAACTTTCATTTTGACCCTCTGTCATCCTCCGAATTTCAAAAATGACCTCCGCTAGTCCTTCCGTTAAGTTTCTCGGTCTCAGCCGTGAAATCTTAGAGACATAATAGTCTTTTTGTTTATTTCCCCCCAAATACAGTCGTGTGCCCTTGATGTCGGCCCTCTCTTCGCAAATCGCCGACGACCCACTCATTCGATTCTAACATTCCGATTCAATTCGCACTGACACATATTTTCTGCTTTAAACACTCAGACAACAAAAATGGCATGCACTGTTGGGCAAGTCATTCGATGCAAAGGTTCTATCTATTTTACTTGCACAAATCTCAGACCCTTCTTTATATATTGCAGTTTGATTGCCCTTTTAAAAAATGATTATTTTTTGGGGTCTTGCGGCAGCAAAATCCTGTCTTTCCTCGTATTCTAGGACACGAGGCCGCAAAGTAAGCTTATATTCATTAATCAAGAATTCTGGTTACTCAGATGTAATGTTTTTGAAATTAGATTCTTGATTTTGTTTGTGGGATTTTAGGATTGTGGAAAGTGTAGGAGAGGGAGTGACAGAACTAGCACTATGGGGCCATGTGCTACTTGTTTTCACTGGGGAATGCAAAGAGTGTAGACACTGCAACTCAGAGGAGAGCAATATGTGTGATCTCCTCAGGATCAACACTGATAGAGAGGTGATGCTTCACGACCAAAAATCAAGATTTTCAATCAACGGCCAACCCATCTATCACTTCGTTGGAACCTTCACCTTCAGCGAACAATATATATGATATGGTGACCATTCACCTGTGAAAAGGAAAAAGAATCACAGTTGACTTACAATCTGTCGGCGACGGGTCAGGCCCATTCGGGCAGACCTGGCCCAGTACTTAAAAAAATAATAAAAATCTTGGGCCTATATAGTTTATTTAGGTCTGCTTCAGTTTTCCATTTTCATATTTAGACTTCTTCTAGTTTAATTGTTCAATTTAATTCTTCCTTAATTTATTATTAAATTATTATTCACTTTTTTGACAAATATTAAGTTTTAAATTTGCTATTTGAATTTTAATTTAATACTGAGGTTATATTAAATTGCCTGAAGTATTGCAATTTATTTAGGATATATGGGTTAGTATATATTAATATGTAAAATCCAAGCATGCTAGGTATGTTTATAATCATTTTATTGTTATAATTATGCATTTAGAAAAGCATGTTTTAAGAATGGATTTAGCATATTATTAACTCATATAGTATATAAACTTCATTATTAAATATCACTCAATTTTGGATTCTTAGGTCAATTTTAGGTATTATGACCTACTAAAGCAGCTTGTTTGGTTTCCTCTTAATTTTGAGCACATTTTAGTTTTATGTGTCTCTGGAACTTTAGAACCTATTTTGCACAAGCAATTTGGGACCTATCTTGGGTCATTAAAGTATGGATCCCATCATTTGGATTGATATTTTTAATAATAATTATATAGCCCTTTTTTTTATTTGATTATAACATGTTTATTAAGCTTTAATTATTACTAATTGCCATATTTTGTTAATGGTATTCATCATTGGTAATAATATTAAATTTTTGGGTCTATTTCAGTATTAGACAAATTTTTCTATTCATGTTATAATTCACTTGGGCCATAGAGGTTTATGAGCCTAATTTGAGTGATAAGTGCTTTAATTATTGTCTTGGCCTATTTTGAGACATTAAGGATTTAATTGTTATTTTGGTCATCAAGAATTATAAACTATTGCTTAAGTTGATTATGTTTTTAATCTATCAATAGTTTTGAGGGCCTTAATAATAATATTAAGTCTTTAATTTTATGGCAAAAGCAATATAGTTGGTATATTGTCTATATAATGGTAAATTGGTTATTACCTTAACTTCAGTCTCCCTAAGTATCATAATAGTCATGGTTAATTGTTATGTGGTAAATTGAGATTAATATTTGACATCCCTTAATTAAAGTTTTGTCTTTATTGTAATTATTATTAATATTAATTGACATTATTAATTACTGTTATTAAGTTTAGGGGCTAAACTCATTTATTACCTTCCATAATAATAATTATTTTATGGTATTCTGCTATATTTGGTACATTGGTATGATTACCACTTCATTTTACATGACTATTAATGTTGGTAATTAAAGACCTACCAATAAAGTTTTTTTTTTAACATATCATTGGACGCTGCATCGAGTTTACTGACACTGACAGTGAAGATGAGAGAATTCTGGAGTTTTTTTTCTTCTCTTGCGGATCATCATCGTTGTTAGCGCAATGGGCAGATGCGGTTTGCATCATTAAGGTTAGCCATTAATTATCTTTTATGGTTGTTATTGTTGATAATTAATACTACAGTTACAGTTAACTGCTAATTTTGACTAGTCACATATTTTATCTTAGAAAAATAGAAACATTAAAAGATGCATTACCATACTTTGATTTGTCGTTATTATTAATATTAATAGTGATTATAATGTTACTTATTACTATTAATAATTAATTAATGATGACATTAATATTATTATGGTATTCAGTTATGTATCTTGAATTGTTTCGAAATAAATTTATGTGACAATATTTCAGTACAGAAAATAATTTTATTGACATTAATGTTTTTCGGACTTCAAATTTTATTAAGTTTTCAAAATTTTATTCGAAAACGTTTATAAATGTTAGCGATTTTAACCATTGTTTTTTCATATTTAGTCTCCTACTTAATGTGATAATATTATTATGGCTATTTATTGCTATTTTGGTTATTTGCAATTGTGTCATTAATAATAATAATATTATTATTAACTGGGTTATGGAGAGTGATTCTGAATCAATTTGGTAATTTTGGAAAAACATATTTTCTAGGCAATAGACTTTTGCCATTAATTCTATAATTCATTTAGTTGTTAGAATTATGATTTTAGTTCTTATTGCCCATATTTGGTTAAGTATGAATAATTGAATATTTGTTATAAAGTCATGCTCTTTAGGTGGTTTATACTCTTTAGATAGTTTTATGTATTCAATCACATTAAGTGCATAATATTAAGTTTAATCATGCAATTAAGATTTGTGAGACTTTAATTTACAAATGACAATTATACTTTTGACTTGATATTGTTTGAATTTGTAAATTCAATCTATTTCTCACAAGTTTGATTTTATGCATTAAAATATTTTGTCATGGACTTACAGTCTGAATCTTTCAAAATATTTATCCATTATTTCATTATTCAATGTTGGGTCCTTTTGATTTGGGCTCATATTAGTACTTTGAATATTAAATTTTATATTTTGAAATAAATCTCATATTTAAATTGTTTTAAATTATGCAATTTATTTGGAATATATGAGTTTAATGTTTAATTTTATGCATACTTGTCCTACGCAAAATATTTTGTTTTAAATTATGCAATTTTATTATGCATTTAGCAATGCATACTTTGGAATGGAATTATATCAGTTCCTATTTGTTAGTGTTTTTATTTTCTCCAAAAAACTCCAATATATAATTGGCAATATTATTATGGCAAACTAAGATAGGGTTTAGCTTGGTGTCTGTTTGTTATTACAGAAGACTGATTGATCAAGTACATCAACAGACACACTGACACTGAAGATCTGATAAAGGAAGATGTTTCCAAAATGCTGAACGCGGTTTGAGAAGACAGTTTTGGAAAGAAAATCAGCGGATCTGTTTTGGAAGGTATGGACCGAGTCTTTAAGATTACATTCTTCACAAA